GCTGGGGGGGTCTCGGCGCCCTCTCCGCGCCCCCCTGTCCCCCAGGGTCGCATGCCTTGCGGGGGGTCTCGACGCCCTTCTTGCCCCCTGTCCCCCAGGGTCGCGCGCCTAGCGGGGGTCTCGGCTCTCTCTCCCCACCACGCCCCAGGGTCGCGCGCGCCGGGGGGGTGGATCTCCCCGCCCCAACCACCCCGCAGGCCCTGCGCCCGAGTCCCGCTCATCTGCATGGGCGCACACTCGCCGCCCATCTGCAAAGCCGCAATTAAACGCGGGGGGCGGGGGCGCCCGAAATTAGCATTTCCGCGGCCATCTGGCGCGAGGAGCGGGCGCGGCTGGACAAAGGGCGCCGGGCGCGGGGAGCGGCGAGTGTGCCGCACATTGACCTGCAAATGAGGCTTTGTCCGCGCATTAAATCTCGCCGGACCCCCGCCCCGCCCCGCCTCCCGCAGGACTGGGCAGCGCAGGGGCTGCGCTGGCGCTGCTCAGGGCAAGCGCGGGGCGAGGGGCGGCCCGGCCCGGACAGCTCCAGAAACACCGGGTCGGGCCCTCCGTGTGCGCCCACGCGTGCCCAGGGCTTCTCGCGGTGAGCCGGCTGGGGTCCTGAGGCGTGGATGCGCGGAGGGCACAGCCTGGGGCGCCTCTGTCCTGCCCACAGCGCTTCGTGCCCTGCGACTTGGAGGGCGGCCGACCGGTCAGTGTTGTGGGGATCCCAAGCACTTGGGACGCGGCCTCCCCCGCAGCCCCTCAGTAGGTGGAGAGGGCAGGAGGGCAGGCGGAGATCCCCAGGCCGCCCTGGGCACTGGGCCTGTCTTCGGGGATGCCCAGGCCTCACCAAGGGCCAAGGTGGCCGCCCACTGGCCTGGCTGTGAGAGGTGCAGAAGGCGGGGTGTGGCCGCCCCTGCCAGAGTTGGGGGTCTTGGCAGTGGAGTAGGAGGGCCTTACCCTGAAGGCGACTGTGGCTGCAGCCAGGCGTGCAGAGACCTGTCATGGGTGGGGGGTGCCACCCCCCACGTGACCCACACTCCAGGGCTCCGGCACCAACACCACCAGGGCAGAGTGATTCTGGGGTCTGGGGTGAGCCCTCTCTCCTTGCTGGGGGCTGCCTGAGTCTCGGGCCGGGCCGGCTCCCTGGAAGCTCAGGAGTCGGGCCTCTGCGCTGGGCAGCACCCACCACCTTGCACTCTTCTGTGGCGCGGCCCACCTGTGGCACAAGAGCCAAGGGTTAGAGTTGGGGAGCAGGCACATGCTATCTGCCCTGTGACCCCTGACCCCTGCTCTGTCTTCAGGAGATCCCCCTTCCCACACCGGCTGGTCTGCACTTCCTGGTTTCGCTGGCATGGGCAGGCCTGGGCGCTCAGAGGAAGAGGGCTCCCTTGCTCGGGTTCCGGAGGGTGAATAGAAGTTTGCTGGGGGGTGTTGGGGGCAGAGTTCGGGGTTGAGTACGTCCTGCCTTCAGAGTCCTGTGGGGCAGCTTGTGACCAGGCCCGCAGCATGCAGGTGGGCCGTGGTGACCAGGTCTGCGCAGGTCCCACACAGTAGAGCTCTTTCTGGCTGGGGTGGGGGCAGGGGGGAGCTTTGGCTAAAGCTGGGAGGCCATGAAACCGCGTCCTGCCCCAGCACCCCTGGCCCAGCGCCAAGCCCAGGGGGTCCCCAGCAAGGCGGGGGGAGGGCCCAAGGCTGCGCTGGGGGCTCCAGGACCGGGGGTTGAAGAGGGGAGTGGCAGGGGTGGGGCTGGTCCAGAGCTCTCGTCTCTGCTGCCCAGTTTGTGCAATGGGCCTTTGGGTGCCTGGCCCTGACCTGTCTATCTCATCTGGGGGTGGGGGGCTCACAGGGAGGCCTGTGGTGAGCAGGGAGTCCCAATTGTGGGTGGTGCAGTTCCACCTTGCCCCACTATTCACCACCCTGTGGCTTCATGGGGGCGCTAGGTGGGGGAGAAGGGAGAGGCTGGAGAGACCCCCAGCTCATGCCCTGGGAGCAACTGACCATGGGGCCTATGGCCCCCAGCCCTGGCCACCTGGGCTCAGAACCCCCAGCCCTGCTGCTCCTGGCAGCCCGGGGAGGAGGGGCCTACCTGCTGCCATCCTCTGGGCTCTGTGTCCACAGAAGGGTCCCTGAGGTGACCCCACAGGCTGTGCCCCTGGGAGTCGCCCTGGGAATGTCAGAGGGTCTGGGGCGGTCATCAGAGTGCCCCTCAGGCAGACCAGGTCTGAGGTCCTGGGGGAGAGGCAGCTGGCCTGTCTGCACTGCCCCGTGGGGACCCGGGCCGGAGAGGGGTCCAGCAGTGTGGCCAAGGCCCTCTTGTACGACCGTCATGCCCTTCCCCTCAAGCTCTGACTCCTGTCCTGCCCTGGCTCAGGCCAGGGGCTGGGGCCAGCCCGGGGGCTTGAGGCAGTCAGAGAAGCTAATGGGCACACAGCGAGCGACAGAGCTGGGCGGGGGGTGAGGTCCGCTCTGGTCTGGGGCCTTCTTCCACTCCCACTGGTGGGGTGGGGCACGGGTCCAAGGGGGTCCAGCTGGGAACCTTCTGAGGGATTCTGCAGGACCTGATGTGGCAGTTGTATTGCCATGTGTCTGGGTAGTCGGGATTCTACCTGTGTGGCAGGTGCAATGGCAACCTTCTTGGAACCCGGAGGTGTGTCCTAAAGGCACACTGGCCCTGGACCCTGTCTCTGGTGTTCCTGCTCAGGCCTTTGGCCTCAAGCACCAGCTCCTCATTGTAGTCTCCACTGCCCTGGGGTCTGCTCAGCTCCCCAGCTCGGTGTGGGGTTAGCACACAGCGTAAGGTGGATCGTAGTGGGGAGGGCCCCTGGTGCAGTCTGACAGAGGGGTCAGGTACGGTCTGAGGTTCCGGGGTGCTGGGTCAGACCTTCCCGAGGTGGGGTCTGCACTTCCTCTGCTTCCTGCCTTGGGAGACCAAGCAAGATGGCCGGCCAGTGGACGCTGGGTCACGGGGGCTGGACAGGGTGACCTTGGAGCAGGGGGCAGCCCTGGCCTCGCAACAGGACCCCTCCTGGAGACCATCTTTGCCCAAGCCCGGGGTGGGCAGAGCTGGAGCAGCGGACGGAGCTGCAGGCACCGCCTGGCCAGAATTCGAGGCAAGCTGAAAAGCACGAGGTGAGGAGCGGGCACGAGCCGTGTGCTCAGCCCAGCACGGTCCAGGCCAGGCCACCTGGGGCACCAGCATGGCAGAGGGTGGTGCCTGGGCTGCAGGGGGAGAACTAAGGGACCCCCTGGGGCCTGGGACACAGGCACCTAGGGGCACCTGGCCTGGTCCGACTCTGTGAGCAGAGCCCGGAGCCCACTGGACAGTAGCCTGGTGGGGTCCCTACCTGGGCTTCTCCCAGCAGAGTGGCTGGGCCTGGGACTGCACCTGGTGGTCCTGGCTCTGGCCCCGCCTTGACCCCGTGCCTGGTGTCAGAGCCTTCACTGTGGCGGAAAGCTGAATGGGGAGGAGCCATGTCTGCCAGCGAGATTGGGGGGTCAGGGGTCAGAAGTGGAGCCGGGCAGCGGGCAGCCACAGCACGTCAGGGAGGGGGCACCCACCCGGAGGGCCTCAGCTGCCTCTTCATTAAGCAGCTACGGTGTGCCTGGCTGGGGCGGGCAGGCCCTGGAGGGCAGCCTGGCCTCCCCTGGCCAGCAGGGGCAGGGAGCAAGCATGGACAGGAGGTGGCAGCGGCTCTGGTCGCCTCCCTTCCCGCAGATGCGCCTGGCACCCATGAACACTGGGCACCTCGAGAAAGGAGCCCCATTTGGACCCAGAGGCCCGGCTTGTGGACAAACACTCCCGGATATTGTCCGCTGTGCTGGGAGCCAGCGAGGTCTACAAAGGGGCCCGGCGTACAGGCTGCGTTGCCTGGGCGACGGCCCTCTCCCGAGGGGTCTGCGGGCCATTGTCGGGGCCCACGGGACGTGTCACACACCAGATGGTCCCGTGCCGCGCAGGTCACCCATCGGGGACGGAGTGAAGGAATGCGGCCGTGCAGCAGGCTGGGCGGCCATCTGTTCCCCCGGGCCGCGGGCACCGGCTGGGCACGGAGCGACTGGCCGGCCCAACCCCGCCCCCGCTGCGGCTTCATTAGCTAATTCCATAATTGGGCTTTATTTCAGGTAAATTGCATTTCACAGCCGAGAGGGCGGCAATCGGCACTGGGTGCTTGGTGCCCAGGCCACCATCGGATGGCACAGCCGAGTGGCGCCCTGCTCAGGCGGGTGCGCAGGGCAGCATGCGGGTCACGAGGGGGGGGCAGGGGGCTCCTGGCTTCCATAAATGTTTACCCAACAAGGAAGCTGTGGCTCCTGCTGGGCCCCCAGCCGTGGCTCCGCCTCCCCACGTGCCAGCCAGCTCAGGCCCCAGCCTTCACCCCCGCCCAACACAGGCTCACGGGTCATACACCAACTCCCTGTAAGTGGCCTTGAGATGGCACCCAGGCCCCACCCTGCTGGGCCCCTGTGGCCTCCGACTCCCAGAGCGCTGACACGGCTGGGTCCTAGGAGGAGGCCGGGAGGGTGCAAGAACCATGGGAGGAGCAGGGTGGGGCCAAGGCAGGCTGGGTGGGCCCAGGGCACACCTGGCTGGCTCTGGCCCTGCCACCTGGGGGAGGCCTACGCTGAGTGACCAATCCTGGCTTTGGTCTAGATCAGTCCTGGGGGTGGTGTGGTAACCCCCCAGCCCAGGAGGGGGCAACTGCCCAGGCTTGCACCAGCCCTGGGGGACAAGAGACCATGGGGAAGGCAGCAGAGCACTTCTGCGGCCCACCACTCCAACAGGAAGCCCCTCTGACAGCCCTGCTGCATCTCTCGGCTCCTCATAGCTCCCTGGCTCTGGGCCCCTCCCCACACCCTGATACCTGGACAGGAAACCATGGAACCCTCTCCACAGAGTAGGTGGGGCTGGCAGGGGGCAGCGGGGTTAGGGACTCAGGCCAGGCTCAGTATGGGGGTCTGCTCCCAGGGGGCCCCCACCACATGGAGAGGAGGGCCGAGGCGAGCATGCCATTGTCCCTGTTTACTGGGAAGCTTGCACGACCAGCTTTGTGAATCATGGACCCCATCACCGCCAAGCAGCCCGATTTTGGCATGACCGCAGTCACAAAGCAGGGTGGGAGGTGGGGAGGGACAGGCCCCCTGCTCACAAACCGGGGTTCAGCAGTTCCACTAGGGCTCCTGCGGCCTGGGACCTCGGTTGCCATCCTCCTGTTCCTGCTGGCTGTGAGGCTGGGCCTGCCCTGCCCCACCCATCCTCCTGCAGGGAATAGCTGGGTAGCCCCCAAGACCTGGCCCCAGGAAGCCAGTCTGGCCACCGCCACAAGGAAGTCACCACTGGAGTGCAGGTCCCTGTGCTGGAGTAACAGCTTTGAGGGGATCTCGCTGCCGGGGCCACTCAGGACTCCTCCTCAGGGTCCCTGCAGTGTACAGTCAGCTGCTCATAGGTGGGCAGTGCGTTGCCAGGCAGGAAGAGCATGGGGTCGCTGGGGTCCCTGTCGGCAGCTCCTGTGGTGTGAGCCCCTCCAAGGGGGCGGCCTTGGTGGAGGCGCAGCAGCTGCTGCAGCATGTCGGCGATGGCCACCAGCCTCTGGTCCAGCTGTGTCACCTGTGGGGCGAGAGCAAAGGCCAGGGTGAGTCTGGGCTGTAGGGTGTGTGTGGTACACGTGTTCCCTGTAGCCCGTTGGCCGTACCAGGACCCTGGCCCAAAGTCCCTGCCAGGGCAGTGGGGTGCCCAGGGATCAGGCTGGGTACCAGGAGGGTTGAGGCGGCCCAGGCCAGTGTGCCTGCCCGTGGCTGCCTGACATGGCCTCTTCCCCCGCTTCTAGGGGCTGTGGGCTGGCAGCCTCCCTGTGGGGCTGGCAGAGCAGGTGCTGGGCAGCTGGGACCTTCCCTTGGGGTGAGCCAGGAGGCAGTAAGTGAGGGTCTTGGAAGACAGGCTGGTTCCTGAGCCTGTGGCACCCTGGGGAATGTCCATTAGTGGGCTGCCTGGGCAAAGGCCCCGAATGAGGGCAGCACAGGTGGCAGCAGTGGCTGGAAATAATGGCTGCAAGGCTGGGACAGGCAGAATGACCGACCACACTGCCAGCCAGGCCTGAGGATGGGGCAGGTCAAGCGTGGACGGACGGGCCTCCCACCTGCACCTGGATGCCCACTGTGGTGTGTGTGGGGCTGGGCCCCCTTGCTCCTCAGGCCTGCTGGGGCCATGAGAGCTGGCCCAGGCCTGTGTCCATCCCAGGAGAGGCCCAAGGAGTCAGAAGTGCCCAGCACACCTCAGCCCTGGCCCAGCCCTTGCCCTGGGAGCCCTGGCAGGCAAGCAGGCCTCAGACTGGGTCCCCGCAGGGACGAAGAGCCCAGGACACCCATCCTCTGCTCAACCTGCTCCTTGTGCCGGGTGTCCCTGCATGTGCCTGTTTGTGGGGAGAGTGTAGCAAGACAGGGATGGGCACAGCCTTGGCCATTGTGGGGGGACAGCTCATCTGGGCAGGGGCCTTACTTGGCCTTGGAGGGCCCTGGGGACACCGTGGGGATAGAGCAGTTTTGGGGAGCTCAGATCTTGCCAGAGGAATTAGAAGGACAGGGTTGACAGGAGCCCCTTTGTGTCAGCCTCAAGTCCCCAAATTCAGAAGCCTGAGGTGGCTTGGGTGCTCTGGATGGAAAGGCCCCATGGGCCCCAAGGGCTGACGTCAAAAAGTTGTTTTCAAGAGAGAAGCTTGGGATGGAATGTCTCCGGTGGGATTCTTGCAGAACCGGCATGCAGCGCCCGAGGCCCCAGCTCTAGGGGCCCACCCACCTGGGACCCTCCTTGGCTGGCTTCCTTAAGAGGGTGCGGGAAGGGCTAGACCCGAACCCGCCATGAGGTCACAGTGTAGGGTGCCCACAACCCTTCTCTCGGTGGCCTTGTTCTCAGGGGCCAAAATGGTGGAGGCCAGGTGTGGCACCCATCTCTGCCACAGGGCGTCGGCAAGGACATGGTGGTAAGGCTGGTTGGCCAGTGGCACCAGGCCCCCAGCTGCAAGGCTGCCCAGCCTGGGGGAATCTCCACTGTGTTGGGACAGATGAGGCCTGCCCAGGGTCCCTCTGGGTGGGCACATCTGTGGCCCCAGAGCAGCAGGAGATGGGGAGTTTGGGCACAAGTCTGGAGAGAAGGCAACTGCTGAGCCTGCAGTAAGCACTTTCTTGTGGGTACCAGCTCACCTGTGTCACCATCACCTCCCCAAGCTCCCTGCTTCGTGGCAGCATGAGGGTGGGCAAGCAGTGATCCGTAGCTTGGCTGTGCCCCCGGGGACAGCAGGGAATGGGGGTGGGGAGAGGGACCCCAGGATTTCCAAGGCGGGATTCAGGCCCCTGGAGCGAAGCCCATTGAGCTCCTGGCTGTGGCCGGCTGGGGAGGCAGCTCAAGCGTCCACAGTCACTCGAGGTCATGTGCAGCCCACAGGGCGAGTTGTCACGTGTGTGCATGCCCCAGGGGCTGCGGCACACCGCACCGGCAGGGCATGCCGCGCCTGCAGGGCTTTGCGCAACTCCATGATTCCCAGCACGTGGTTCTCGGGAGTCGGTGCCTCTGCCGGAGGCTGGTCCTGCCTTTGCCGCTGGCCCCAGGCCTCTGCACACTTGGCCATGATTGGGCCCATGAAGTGCCACCTCCCCAGACCTCCTGAAGCCTGCCGGTGCCCACAGCACCCCCTGAGTGGGCCGAGGTGGGCAGGCGGCTTCCTTTGAAACCTGCCAGCCTGGGGTGGGGGTGACATGCTGGCCAGGGCAACCCTGGGCCCCTGCCAGCCTCTACCCACTGCCCTGCGGGACCCTCACCCTCTCCAGGCTCATTTCTGATGGGCACCTCAGGGCTCAGAGGCCGGTCCTTGGTGGACAGGCTCGGCACAGCAGGACGGCACCCAGCCCTGTCCCTCGCAGGTGACCTTCCCAGGGTGGGACGAGGCACCGAGGTCTTTGGGGAGTGCCCCTCCTCCCTGCGACGCCACACTGCGTGCACCGCTCCAGGAGGAAGCTCTGCCTCTGGCTGCACCCTCCTCCCTTGAGCACGTCCACCGGGTCTGCCCCAGCCCTTTGCTGGCCTCGCCTGCTTTCTCCCTGGCGACTCCTGGCCCTGCACACTGCCAGGTCCTGGATTTGCGTCGCCTGCTGGAGGCTCCCGAGGGCGGGCTCTGAGCCTTGCTGCGCCCCGAGTGTCCCCCAGGCCTGCCAGGGCACACATATGGGCTCCACAGGCACGGCTGAGACGCCAAGGGGGTGGAAGTATCACTGGGGGTGAGAGCTGCACTTTGCCCCTTTGCGGCACTGTTCCAGTATGAAGCCCAGAGTTTTTCTAGAACTTTCCTGACTTGGACTTCCTTTTTGGATAACAGATGCGTGCGCTGTGTATTCTGAGCTGCCCTCTAGGTTGTGGGCTGGCTGTGTGCAGGGCAGTCTGTCCCCAGCATGCTCCAAGCCGGTGCCTCCCTAGTTCGTGCTTGAAGCCTCCCTCCTGTGGGGAGGGGGCACAGAGGGGGCAGACGAGTCTCCTGGGGTGCCACCAGTGCTAACCACCACCCTGCTTGCTGTAAAGGCATGTGGCTCTGTGTCTTCCTGTCACATTTTGGTCAGACTCAGCAGGCAGCGAGGGACACTTCCACTCTGCTGCCCACCCTGGAATGTTCTAGAGTGGAGGTGAGCTCTCCCCCTCACATATTGAGGGGCACTGCCCCACGGTGTGCAGGCCCTGGGCTGGGGTTGGATTCTCTGTTCCCTGTGTGTGAACCCCTTTCCCAGTGGACATCGGGGTAGGGCAGGGCAGGGTCACTCTCCTTTGCCCGTCCGTCTCTGGCAGGCCGGCTTTGCGCCTCCCTTTGTGCCTGCAGTCCCTGCTCTGCGTTGCCCTTCGGTCGTGCTGGGCTGGGCTCCTGGACATGGCTCCACTCCACCCCTGTTCCTTAGCTCCCCCTTTGGCCGTCACGTCCCTGCCCTTGCTGGTTGCCTCCCAAGGGCCGTGGGTGGGTGTGCAGGAAGCAGGACCACTGTGCTGGGTCCCAAGCATGGCTTGGCTTTGCTGTCTCCACCTGCGGCGTGCCACCCACTGGCCGGGACAGCAGCGGCCACTCCTCCTGGCAAGCACAGTCCCCTCCCTAGGCACGTGGCATGCCCACTCGTGCAGCTGACCCCTCTGTTGTGGCCGCGTGTGGGTGCTGGCCTCCAAGGCTGAGCCCACCACCTGCAAGCTTCAAGTGGCCCGTGTCCATGCTCTCTCAGGAGGGCACGGAGGAATGGTCATGTCCCCGGGGCTGGGCCACCTCCCGTGGGATGCATGTCCTCCACTGCTCTCGGAGACCTCCACTCCAGGCCTCCTAACCACTTGTGGAATTTGCCCCAGCAGGAGCTGTGCCTGCCCCAGCCCTAGGGGCCCCTGCGGTCATCAGGGTGTGTGCTGCCTCTTGGCCAGCGCCAGCGCAGGGAAGGCCTGCCCCGCGTGCCCCTTCCCCTCCTTTCCATGGTGGACACATCTGGGGTGGCAACCAGGGGCACAGGATGGCTGCCAGGGAGTGGGCTCTGGGGTCAGGCTGGCGCATGGCACACACGGGCCCTGCAGCTGCCCTCCCCTGCTCCACCCTGCTGCGGCCATGCCCTCCCAGGTGCCCCCACCCGTTGTGCTTTGCCCATCAGAGCTTGGGCCCCTGGCTACCTGCCCTGGCCCTCAGCAGCGGCCTGCGCCGCCCAGCAGGCTGCCTGCCTGCCTGCCTGCCTGCTTCCCGGGGCTGTGAGCACCGTGAGGAGGGGGCTTGGGCGGCCTCCTCAGGGCCTGGCAGGGTTCCCGGAACACGGCGGGGTCCTGGGTGGGGGCAGAACGGGCCCCAGCCCAGGGGTGGCCGGGGGCTGCCCTACCCCCCATTCCTCCCTGGGCCTTCCGCATCCTTTGTCCCCCTCCCCGAGCCTCCCTCCCTGCCCAGAGCCACGTGGGGCAGGGGGAGGGGCGCGCTGCACTGCTGGCCGCCTGTTTCCGTGACCGCGTGGAACCGCACGACGCTTTCCATCCACGTTGCCAAGGGGCTGGGCGCGGTCTCCGACCCCCGGTGGGGCCCCCGGGATGCCGGGGGAGGGGCGGGGGTGCGAAGGGTTAACCTGCTCTCCGCCCCTCCCTCCTTCCCCGTGGCTTCCACAGGCAGCTGGAAAACAATAGGGCTCGGCGCTCTAGCTGCCCCCGCCCCCCGTAATTACTCAAGACTTCGGCATGAGCCAGGCCGGTTAGGTAACGGGCTGTGCTTGCAGCTCCGTAATCTCCCAGGACAGCAAAATCGTTTCCAGGATGGCGGGGGGAGGGGGAGAGAGGGGCCTAGCGGGGGCGAGGGCTGTGGCCGGGAGATCTGTGGGGGCTGTGGAGACAGACGCCCCAGGGCCCAGCCTGCACCCTTACCCCAAGCCAGAGTGGGAGGCTCAGCCTGGTACGGGGGTGCCGGGGAAGCCCTGGAGTTCATTCATCCTGCAGTGTGAATGACTGAGCGGGCAGCCTGGGCTGCTCCCTGGCCCAGCCCCAACGCGTCTGCTGGACCCGAAGGAGGCAGAGATCCCAAGCCACTTCAGGCTGGGGTGCAGGCTCCCCGGGCCCGGGGTGCTCCT